TTCTCTCTGTAGCCTGATAATTTTTCTTTAGATCTGCTTCTATGCAGCTAGTGTGTTGCAGCATTAAGATAGGTAGTCAGAATATGTTTCAACAGATGGATTTTTGAGATTGGGGTAGTTTAACAATCCTACTTATAGTTAGTGTGGAGTGTAATACCTAGACATAGTGTTTAAGTATCTTACAGGGGAAACGGCATGCTTTGGTCCTGGTGGGGCGATTATGTTTAAATAGTACCCACTTAGGCTCTACACTGCACCTATCCCAGATACTGTTTCTACACTGAAACTCTATTGAAGGGATATTCAAAGGAAGTCTCTTTTTTTAAACCCTTAACCCTTAATTCTCAGCTTTGAACCTTGAGTAACTGAGTATTGAACCTTGAATTGCTAAATTAGGGAGGGGAATTAATTGTTGCTCCCTATTCCTCTTGTCCTTGACCTATTCTCCCCCCCAACCCACCCTGAGCGGTGGGTGGGGGCCATAAATAACAATGAGGGGGGGACACCTATTGTCCTCCCCCCCAGCCCCCACCCCTGAGCGGCGGGTGGGGGGCCTAAATGAAAATGCCCCCCTTACCCCTTCCAAGGTGACTAGTCACCTCCCCACCCAAATAAAAAATAATCACCTACCTACCCCCCTCACCCTAAAAATAGTGGGGGGGAATAAAAGTACTAACTACCTGTAAAAAAAAAAAAAAACTTACCATTTGATGTCTTCTTTTTTCTAAACTCTTCATTTTTCAGTCCCAAAAAAGGCCAAATAGAAACCATAATACCCATCGAACTTGTAAAAAATAAAATAAAAAAACCTGAGCGCAAAAAAAAAATCTGCCGAAAAAGAAAAAAACGGACGCTAAAAAAAATTAATCCATCTTCACCCGGCGATGGCACGGCGCAGACTGAGCTCTGCAGGGTGGGGAAAGGCTTATAAAGCCTTGCCACACCCTGCAATTAGGCTCAGAACACTCTGATTGGATGGCTTGAAATCCATCCAATCAGAGTGCTGTGTCATTTTGCACAGCGTGGGAAAGTTCCAAAGAACTTTTCCACGCTGTGTAAAATGACTAGCACTCTGAATGTTTGAATTCCAAGTCAACCAATCAGAGTGTTCTGAGCCTAATTACAGGGTGGGGCAAGGCTTAATAAGCCTTTCCCCGCCCTGCGGAGCTCAGTCTGCGCCGTGCCCTCGCCGGGTGAAGATGGATTAATTTTTTTAGCGTCTGTTTTTTTCTTTTTCGTCAGATTTTTTTGGGCGCATACAGCATAATAGTAACACATCTATATGAGTGATGGATACACTCACATGATTTCAAGCCAATTAAACCTGGCTGGACACGATTGACTTGTATATTCTCAAAGAAATACGATTTCTCTGAGTTGACATGAATAAACAATTTATTAAATTAAACAAAACAATGAAATAATTTTTTTTTGTAATTAATCTGGAAATGAAGTAAGAAAGTTGATTTGTCTCCCATTATCTCACACAGGACCATACACTATCAGAACATCATATTAAACACAATAATCACACAAAAACACTATTACAAAACACATTTGACTCAGAAGTGGGTAATGTCTTCTCGTCAAATATGTGTCTTTACAGCTGGCGTATTTACAATGTAGACAATCCTCCAACACTATCTTGCAAACAGGATATCTGCAGCAGATAACCTATTAATAAACAATAGCATCAACATATTTAACCATTCAAGGTATATACCATGGGTCCTCAAACTCCGGCCCACCATATGTTGTGGAACTACAACTCCCATGATTCTTTGAATTACATAGATAGCCAGAGAATCATGGGAGTTGTAATTCAGTAACATCTGGGGGGCCCGAGTTTGAGGACCCATGGTATATACAGTGTTTCTTACTTTCCCAGTACACCTCGGGTGGGGGCTAGGGGAAGGACAATAGGCCCCCATTGTCTTTTATGGTCACTACCCGCCGCTCAGGAAGTGGGGGCCGGGGGGAGAGGACTATAGGTCCCCCCCTAATTATAATTTGTGGCCCCCACCCACCGCTCAGGGGCCAGGAGGAGGACAATAGGTCCCCTCCTCATTGTCTTTTATGGCCCCCACCCACTGTTCAGGGGTGGGGGCCGGGGAGAATAGGTCCCCACCATTGTTATTTATGGCCCCCACCCACCGCTCAGGGGTGGGAGCCGGGGGGGAGGACAATTGCTCCCCCCATTATAATTTATGGACCCCACCCACTGCTCAGATGGTAAAAGGACAAGAAATACTCAGTGATACAGTATAATAGTAACACATCTATATGAGTGATGGATACACTCACATGATTTCAAGCCAGTTAAACCTGGCTGGACACGATTGACTTGTATATTCTCAAGGAAATACGATTTCTCTGCGTTGACATGAATAAACAATTTATTAAATTAAACAAAACAATGAAACAAACATAAAAGGTAAAGAAATATATTCTATTCAGCTCTATTACTCATGAGAGTTAAATATAAAAGTCCCAAATGCGTTTCGCCTGATGGCTTTCTCAGTTGGATTAATAATAAACTCTTCTTGATCTATTTATACTTGTTTAATAGACAAAATTGCAATCATCTATGGATCTTCGGTCCACCCTGTGTTCAGTGGAACGCATTATGTGTTCCACCATTTCACCTTGCGGTTTCAGGATAGTCGTGCCTCTTCCTACTCTCACCGTGAATGCTTATCTTGTATCCTGTCGTCCCGCGCATGTTTGTAAAACAAGATGCGTTCCAGCATCTGGAAGATGGTCCATAATCAGTAGTGTATATTCATTTCGAATGCAGTATGTGTTCCACCTGTTTATAAGGTCCAAAGAAAGACTAATACAATTTTCTACATTTTACAGTATCGCATAAAGTAAAAATATGACACTTTGAAACTACCAACGGATGACATAAAATGTGGCTATAGATGAATCTTATACAAAAAGATAAGTCATGCGCTCACTCCCATCACTACTTGGCCGGCAGCAATGGCTACAGTACACATCAGCCCCAATATAAAGTAACAACCAAAGGAAAGAAAAAGTTACCTGCGCTCTCTCCTTAATCCCAATTAAGGGTTAATAAGTATATAGTGGTGTATATAAAAAATACCCCTCTTTGTCTCATTAGAGATATCTTTGCCAGAAGCTCAAGGAAGCAGGCCGAAGGTTCAGTGTAGGACCCGCTTTAGGGGGGTCTGCCTTGATGTTGGCAGGCAGGCATTCCCTCCAATGGCCAATGAAGCAACTAAATGACCTCCATTTGTCTAAATATACATAGGGATTAAAGAGAGAGCACAGGTAACTTTTTCTTTTCTTTGGTTTTTACTATAGATAAATCTTGTCTAATTTTTTAGGTAACATTATTAGTGAAATTAGTATTATTAATCATAAATATATATTTACTTTCTGAGGGGTATATTCACTATAGAGTAATACAATTGTCTACAAATTATAAATACATCTTATAATTTAAATGTTATACAGTGCAAAAAAAATTCAGATTTCTTGGGCACTGAAAGTAGATGTTAGTAAAATCCCCCAGTCATTATTGTTACAGATATAATAAATATAAGATATGATAAAAAGGAATTAATATCTGTTGTATGACCCATACAAATAAAAAATATGTCAGCTATAAAACAGTGACATCAAACTCCCACTCCAGTCATGGTCTTGGAGGACATGGAGTTCCTCCCATACAGGACATGAATAAGTTGGTATAACTGGGAGCGAAGTTGATGCCCATCGTTGTTCTTTGCTTCTGAATGTGAAAAATTAATTATTGGTAAGGATCAATTGGATCCGTTCCAAGATAAAATTTGCTTGTCATTCTCTAATATCAGATTTCAAAAAAATGTTAGACTACCTTTATGCCAATATTATGGAAACGATGCTGCATAGGAAATCTATATCACAGGTTTAGGAGGCAATTTTTTTCCTAATTAGTTCTAAAAATGTTCAAATATGGATAGTATCTTTTAAATATGCTGGATTATCACTATCACTATAGGATGCAGTACAGTAGGCACAATCTATCGCAGAGATGATTGGTCTACCAGTGGGTTATTAACATCCTTATGAATCTTTGGTAATTGATAAAATATGATGGTTATTGGATTAGATATTGATGAATATTTGGCTTCCTTAACTTTAAGATACCCGCACCTAGGCCTTTCTTTATATATTCTTCAAATGTATTTTTTATTTGTTCTGTAGGACTAGCTGTAAGCTTCTGGTACATAGTTATCAGCAATTATCCTTTCAGCATCTTCTATATATTTATTGGTTAATAGAACAACTACTCCCCTTCATCTGCTGTTTTTATTGTGATCTTATTTCTCTTCATATCTTCTAAAGCTGTATTTTCATTGTAAGATAAGTTTTGTTGATATTTACTTTTCAAAATGTATTAATTTATTTTTAGGTCTTTCATTATCAGTGTTTGAAATGTTTCCATGTCATCTGAAATCATTCCTTTGTGAAAGAATTCAGATTTATCTTTTAAATCTCTATGGGTGAAATGACCTATCTGATCTATTCCCCTCGCCGCTCTTTTGTAAAAAAAAAATTTTTCAAACACAGTTTTCTTTTGAAAAGGCTCAGGTCATTGAAAAAAAATCAAAAACATTTCAATCTGCAGTGGCAGCAAATTTAAGGTCTTTCTGCAAGAATTTCCCTTGGGCTGGTTCTGGTGATTGGCCTGTTAGATTGAAAATGTCCTCTATATTTAGGTTCGTTCTCTCTTCTCTTGGTTGTAGAATCTTTCCTCCTTTTCTATTTCTCCTCCTTTTAGAGATCTTTGTTGTTTGCCTGGTGATTCCCAGAAAACTGGATTCTGTAGCCATTCGATTCTGTTCTGAGTGTAATCCCTCCCAAAATAATTCACCCTGTTTGTCATCAAGTCTCTGTACATATTGTTGTTTACAGTAAGGAAATGTACTCCTTTTTGGTATCCGGTTTATTTTTATATTTTTTATATGTAAAATAGCAAAGACTCAACATTTTTTTTATATAGTTTATTTGAATTTCTCCAGGCAAGACAATATATAGGACCTTTATTATACATTCATTCAAAGAAATAGGGAATATACACATACACCATTGAAAGCCCAATATACAAAAACAATAAAGAGAGAAATCAAAGTAAATTTAATCTGATTTTCAAATTTAAGGTCAAAGTAGCTGAATGGGGAGCATACTTGAATTTTTCCATTTAGGCTATTATGACCTTAAATGTAAAAATCAGGTTGAGATCAGTTTTCATTTTAGCGAATAACCCTATAACGATGCAATATGATCAGAATGTCACAGAAAAGAAATATTCAGCAGTTTCAGCAGAAACCAGTTTTGTGCAGCTTTTTGCAAACAAAAAGGTAAATATAATGATGCAAGTATATAAATTACGAAAGCTAAAAAAAAAAAAAATGAGCTTAGTTTCCAGAACTGTCACTTGTAGGCTTCACATGTTTCCCAGGGCTTTTCGGTCCTTTGCTGCAAATAATGATAAAAAAATTACATGATTAGCCCTTTGATCCTGGCATTGGAATGTATTTGGCCTAAATCCATTATAATGATCTTTGCTACGTCAGTTAAAATGCCATCCAACATCAAACAGCAGTAGCTGCAACTCTGCTACAAATAAGACATTGATTTGGCATTGCTCATGATTAGCACGTGTGTTGTGCTAATATTAAAAAAAACGGAAAAAGCATATCCTGTTATTAAAAAGCAAATGTTGAATTATAACTACTTCTCCCACAGGAGAGAAGTATTGAGCTCATTGTCCTTAGTGTACTTATCGAATATTTAAAACTATATAAGGATTTTATTATGTGAAAAACAACACAAAACCATAAAATTGTAGTGCCACCAAGACATAATTCTTTTGTAGTTTAACCATCTTCGATTACTTAATTTCATTGATAGCTCAAATATACATGGAAGGAAAAAACCAAAACAGACTATTACTAATAGCGCTGATCAAAAATGTTGCTGTATGTTAACTCCAAAAAAGTGTGTTGACAACTTAACATACACTTACTTGTGAGAGAGGTTTGATACCCAGACTGCTTTGTGTACAATAAAAAAAAAAACAGAGATACACAACTGTACAGCAACTATTTGTCTTCACCATTATTTTGTGTTATTTTACGTTTTCTTTGGTGAATAGATTTGCATTTTGTTGAAGCATTCAGTACATTGTTGTAGAGCCTTATCACTGATGTCTGCAGTAAGAGGAATTAATAACCAATTTGCTAAATTTAGGCTAAAATGGAAAGTGGAAAAAATACCCTTAATTTTGCCATTTGGTTAACTGACCACTATTTGTTTATGGACTGTTTTAGTTTATTAATGTTGAAACTACAAGCAAAGTGATTTTTGTTTGCAAAATGTAATTTAGTCCTGCTTCTGATTTTTTGGGTGACACGATTTGATCATTCCGAGAATATCTGACTCTTCTATTGTCTACAAAATAAGCGTTTAGTAAAAAGTGTCCTACCTTTTTGCTTTAATGATTTTCATGACCCACTTATCCTTGGGATTGGCACAGACTTTGAATTTTTTTGTAATTAATCTGGAAATTAAGTAAGACAGTTAATTTGTCTCCCATTATCTCACACAGGACCATACACTAGCAGAACATCACATTAAACAATGTAATCACACATAAAAACTGTTACAAAACACATTTGACTCAGAAGTGGGTAATGTCTTCTAGTCAAACTTGTGTCTTAATAGCTGGCGTATTTACAATGTAGACAATCCTCCAACACTATCTTGCAAACAGGATATCTGCAGCAGATAACCTATTAATAAACAATAGCATCGACATATTTAACCATTCAAGGTATGTATACAGTGTTTCTTACTTTCCCAGTACACCTCGTGTTTTAGAGGTAATTTTATGAAAAAATGAACAATAAGGGTTACACTTTTTACTTTGACCATGTCAATAAAGGTGTTTTTTTTTCCCATTTTATTTTAAAGACAGTTGTGAGGGGTCAATGACAAAACCATGGCATGTCTGAGACACTGAGAACCATCTGTTTTAAGATGCATACAAATGATATAACTAAGTAATATGCATTGCCTACAAATTAAATTGATTTTTTTTATAATTAAATAAAACTTACATTACTGCGTCTATATCACACACTTCGTACGAATTCTGCATGACATATCCTTTAATTTGTTTGCGAGGCAGAGGCTTCCTGGTATAGGTATAGCAACAATCAAACAAGCCTACAGCATTAAAAAGGGGATAGAAAATGTATCTCAGTACAATGTACTTTGTGTAGCAATAATAACCCTCATAGAAATAGCAAAAACACATTAACATAGCAAGAACATTTCTACTGTATAAGTCAAATTAATGTATTATTATTTGTACTATTAATTTGTTGACAGAAGAACGTACCTGACAATCTATCATCTTTTATACTCTCTCTATCATTGTACACTATCGTGTGTCTGGGTTTGTTGGTACTAAGTACATTGATAATTGTTTGAGTTAGTAAAAACCCTTGGCTCTAGAAATATGACTTCTACTCTAAGTTTATTCATAAGTATGAAATATAGAGTTTTATCTTCTTGTTCTTGCTCTGTTTTGTTAAGGTAACTGATTAGTTAAATATTAGTAAAATAATAAAATATAAAAATAATTTATTTGTTTTCTGGTACTGGAAATAGTTGTAGACACTCATCTGTATGCTACAATACATAAACAGAAAGTAGGAATACACTGCCTGGATACCTTTATTCCGAAAAGAAAGAATCAGATTGTCGTAAGAACTTGATAATACAAAATGTTAATGTTTAATAAGTAAAAAAAAAACGACTTTCTATTCTATTTATAGAACATTTCCCTGATTTCCGTAAAGATCAATTCAGATCTGATATTTTGTTCATGCAATATATTTCGGTTTTAAATATAATATGGGGGACAGGAAAGTGCTAATAGTGCATTTTCAAAATATTTTATAAACACAGACCTTTTTACAAAAAACGGTAAAAGCTTGGATCTTTTCTATACTACCTTACCCTATCCATAACCTTCTATATCTATCTGCATTTGTCAGAATTTTAAGATAAAACATGTGAAATAATTGCACCATATTAAAGTTTATTCTCTAATACCGATAAGTGCATAGCTTGCAAACAGGATTGCACGTTTTAGGTAGAAATAACCGAGATGGTAAAATAAAAAGGTGCCGATTTTTCCTAAAAGGGAATTTTTGACCAACGTTTACAATTAGCTTGTTCTCCCCAGTCCTCGTCTTGTGGTGAGAAGTGCTTTGTATATTACCGGTGAAAGACTTTAGAAGCTGAACTTTAACCCCTTAAAGACAAAACTTCTGGAATAAAAGGGAATCAGGACATGTCACACATGTCATGTGTCCTTAAGGGGTTAAAATATTAAAACATAACAGTGTTGACGTAAACAAGCCAAATAGAAAAATGTATATAGATATAATAAGCATAAAAAATATATATATATTTTTTGCAAATGAACATATTAGTCTGTTAAGAAGGAAAACAAATAGGATAAAAACTCACCTTCTGCTGTGTTGACATAGAACAGGCTTGCAAATGCTAACAGACATAAAAGTGACAAAGTGCTGGCTCCTAACATCTTATGATCAGATGTCATTTGATTAACTGCTTATGCACAGACTAGATAGTTATATACTAGAGGACCAGACACCACCTACACGTTATACTCATCTAGGGACTTCCCATATACTTTCCACTTTTTGGTCACATAACATTCATTCACCTTCATCTCTATAATTGTCAACCACACAACACAAAAGACAACAGGGAAATTATAGGTTCTGTGATGCATGAAAGCACATTACATAATTATAGATGTTAACCGTACCACTGACACGGGGATCTTTAGATAATTTATTAACTGGGTGTTTTAATTTTATTTTGAGAGTTTATTTTAAATTTTTTAAATAAATACTCTGTCACTATTAATGTTTCTCGATTTACGTCAAAGTAATACCACTTAACCTGTTGTAAAAGACCTGACTTAGGTTGCTCTGTTTTGCGACAACAGAATATTCATAAATATTTATGAACAAGATATCCATAAATATTTGGCAGAGCATACATTACTTTGAACTTTAGATCTAGGAAGAGCAGATATTGTGTTTATATAAAGGAACACGATAGTGATAGGAATACAAAATCCCTAACACTAAAGTATCCTTGTGTCTCTGCCCCCCTCCAGTGACCCCAGCCAGGAAAGGGTTAAATACACTTTAAAAATGTACCTGATTCTAACGCCAAGATCCATCTTCACTGATGTCAACCAATGGGGGGGATGATAATGCACATGCGTGGCGAGCTCTGCACACATATTAGGCCTTCCCTTCCCCGTAGGAAAGCATTGCTTTAATGCTCTCCTATGGGGTATTTGAAGACGATGGATGATCTCATGCAAAGCCAGAGGACGTCCGGGGTCATTTTACGGAGTTAAACTCAGTGAAACAGCAGGAAGCACTTCTAGTATTTTGCATTGAAGGACTAAGGGGACAATGAGATGAAGTGATCTTGGTGCCTTCCAGAGTACCTTTAATTTGAGAAGAAGGAATATTTAATTTTAGTTAGTTCTCTTGTTAACACCAGCCACTGCTCTAGCTCCCATTCTGTTTTGGTTTATTTGAAATGAAAATAATCATCTCACAATGCTAAACATGAATGAGCACTGCAGCACAGAAGGTTATACCAAACCTAATGGGAAAGAGAAGAAGGTAGGAGTAGTGGCTGATTAAATAATAATTAAGAAACAGAAATTCTTACATTCAAGATATTCATGTTGAGGTGAGTAAGTCAATGATTTTATTATATTGTTTAACAAAATGTATTGAGGAACAATTATTACATTTAAAATAAAATCACATTTACATTGAGAAAAACATTACATTAATTAAAGACTATGCTACATTCATTTCTGAATGTGTTTTTAAAAATCTCCAATGGTATATCTTTGATACAATTCATTGGGGCCCATCAGATATGCATTAAAATATTGCTGTGGGAACAGTCAGTTTTATAGCTAGAAACTTTTCCACTGCCTTTTGCAACAGCCTGATTAAAAAACTTACCCAGCCCAGCAAAGCTCCGTGAGCTCCATCAGCTGTTCCATGGCCTTTTGCAACAGGTATCCTTCTGGGAGACCATCATTTCATTATATTTTTTACATACCCTGTTATTTTTGTGGTGTGGGTTTTTATATTTAGCCCATATATCTGTCCTGTTCCTTGTTTAATGGTTTTATTTCCCTACTTAAATACCTCTGTCTTATCTCTGTAATTCTCAATCTTACCCTTTGTTTTTCCTTAAATGACCTTCAATCAAATGTCCATCTATGCATCCCCACAATCTCTTAGCCCATCTGACCCTAATATACAGCTCTCTCCCACAGTCTGATTTTTAAACATACCTAGTCCAGCAAAGCACCCAGAGCTCAATCAGCTGTTCCACTGCCCTTCCAAGGAGGCACATCGGTGGCATGGCCAGACACGAGGAGCCCCGTGCGGAACTAGTAAAAGGTAAGGGGGCTGACCTCCTAAACTGTGGTTTTAGAACTATAGTGTCAGCAATACACATTTCTGTTCCTGACATTATAGTGCCCATTTAAGAGGGACTTGGAGTTAGGGGATAGTAACCTTCAAGATACAGTGTGTTTCCATTGATTCTCAACTGGGTAAATCACAAGGTAGCACACCAATGGAGATCTGTGGCAGATGAGGCACATCTGCTGTTCATACTTTCCATTCATAATCCAAAGAAGTGACTGTTTCTTGTTCCCTTACCCCAATAAATTGTATTGTAGCATTTACTGAGGCAAAAAAAGGCATTGGAGGTAAGTAACAAAAAAATCCACTACCATTGGCAAAATCTCCTTTCTTCAAGTCTGCCCTGAAGTGCATAACTTTGCATTTATCTATATTAAATTTCATCTGCAAATTGAGTGCCCAGCCCCCATTCTATCTCTCTCTGCAGCAAAGTAATATCTTGTTATTTGTACAGTCCCATTAATGAACCAGTTACCAGAGAGGTGTTTGCACTGGTTCTGTATCTATTTGTATAATATTATCATATGCCCTATTGCCTTTTCTTTCGAAAGTAAACAAGTTCAGGGTTTCCAGTCTTTCTTTGTAATCAACAATCTTAAATTCCCCTAGTTAATTTTGTGACCTGTCTCTGCACTCCTTATAGATCCATAGCAGCCGTTTTACAAAACAGGTGCTCAAAAGTGCACAGTGTATTGAATGTGGGGACCACTGAATTACAATAATTTTTTTTACTGTGGCAACTGGTGAAGTTTTAAGATGGTGGGGCGCCATACTCTTCCCTTCACAGAGATAATCATACAATACAGAGAGATAAGCATAATACATATATAACACAATAAAATTAGCTGGGCACAACATGAATATATCTATAAAATATATAGAACTGAGTACAATAATGAGATAACCATACCACTAACAGAGCTTAGAAAAAAATAGATATACAATACACACAGCTGAGCACAACACAAAAATACCAATACAATACACAAAGCTGGGTAGATTTCAGACATACCCATACAACAGGTAGAGCTAAGTGAAATACAGAGACATAACACACAGAGCTGGGCACAATACAACGTTACCAATACAATCCACAGAGCTGGAATGGCTACTGACATACCCATACAACAGGTAGAGCTAAGTGAAATACAGAGACATAACACCCATAGCTGGGCACAATACAAAGTTACCTGTACAATACACAGTGCTGGAAAGGCTACTGACATACCCACACAACAGGCAGAGGTGAGTAAAATACAGAGACATAACACCCAGAGCTGGGCACAATACAATGTTACCAATACAATCCATAGAGCTGGGATGGCCATAGAGATACCCACACAACAGGTAGCCATCTGAGAACTAACACACAGAGCTGGGCATAATATTGGGCACTAGTAAGTATCCCACACAGTTAGGATCACTGTGATGGATTACACAGAGCTGTAATACAGTGATTCCCACACTGTACATGTCTGTTTAAAATGCTTTAGCTGTCTCTCTCTCACCCTAACCCTCTCTTAGCTCTCCCTTACACGATCTCATCTTCAGTCGTGCTCCTGCTATGGTATGTTAGTTTCCTGTTAAGTATTGTTTCTGTTATGAAACATGTCAGCTATTTCATTAGCTCTCATCACACAGTGTGCGCATGGTTAAAGGGACTCTCCAGGCAGAGTAGTTTACTCACCTGTTTCCAGCGCCAGGAGCCTCGTGCAGCAGCGCCCCCTATTTCGTCAAAATGACGAAATAGGCGGGCGCGAGCAGGGAGAAATCAGATGCTTCCATTTGGAAGCGTCATTGCTCCCTTGTGCGCATGCGCGGCTTCGCCGCACATGCGCACATACTTCATAGGGCGGCATTCATGACACCCTCAGCTCGCGGTCTTTGCCTGCCCCCTCTCCTCTGCTGACAGGCAGGAGAGAGAAGGCGCGCACACGGTGCCTTCTCTCTCCTGCACAAGTCAGACGTATCTTAATATGTCTGACGTGTACAAGGCCTTTTTAGTGCCCTACATGATAGGAAGTCCCTCTGGTGGCTGTCTGGGTGACGGCCACTGGAGGTATTCCTATCAATCAATGTAAATATTGTATTTTCTCTGAAAATACAGTGTTTACATTAGATTGCCTGCAGGGAGCTATAGAGTTCACCTGAAGAAATACATTAAGCTGTAGTTGTTCAGGTGACTATAGTGTTCCTTTAAAGTATAAAGATACTGATAGACTTTGCAGCTGGCAGTATAATTAGTCTGCACCGTTAACCCCTTAAGGACACATGACGGAAATATTCCGTCATGATTCCCTTTTATTCCAGAAGTTGTGTCCTTAAGGGGTTAATATGGAGCCAAGAATTAGCTGACATGGTTAATAGAATCAACATTCATTACAGATTTAAACAGACTGAAATCAGAATCACAGAGTCACAGCCCAAGTCCTTCAGTTTGTGTTTCACACATTTTCACAGCATGAGTGTCGCAGGTCTCAGCTGTAGAGTGACTGAGCATTTAAAAGAAGATAATGGATATGTGCGGTAGGAGTTATTAAAATCATTAGTGACAGGCATCATTTTGCCAGAAATGCCATCACCCTCCCCCCATTTGTCACCCCTGGGCTTCCCTGGGTTTATATATATTAATTACATATTTTAGTAAACTTCCCTGTTTAATTAGCCCTCAGACAGGGGGATGAGAAAAAGACAACTCTCTACATAGTTACATAATTACAGAGGGTGAAATGCAATTACCCTACAATTGAAAAATTATATATTGAATATTGCGTTTTTCTAAGTTGCTGTTAATATTTGTTAACCTTTCTACATGTTCCATTGCTTTTATCAATTTTGTGGCCCGCCTCTGCACTTTTTCTAGTGCTATATCTTTATTTAGAACAGATGCCACAAATTGCACAGCATATTCAAGATGTGGTCTTACCAGCGATTTATAAAAATGAATACACCTCTAAACGCATAGAGCCCAAAATTTTAATTATATAAAATGTTACTTTATTCTTTGTTGTTTGATTACTGTTTATACTATATGTAACAATACAAAATGCTGACTGCATAAAAAGACGCTG